TCTCTCTCTCTCCCAGATCTCGCTGAGCTGGTCTGTCTTGTTCGTCCGGTGTTAAACAGTTCATATCCGGCCCCCAGGGCAGTCGGGGTCACAGGAGCTTAATGGATGGACGGCAGGGTAGGGGGGCAGGACCACAGCACCTCTCTGTGCCTCCCGACACGCTGTCAGTCACTCTGCTCTCCGAGAAATGTCCCGGGGTTAGAGAACTCCTCACGGGACTAGAGGAACGGGGTTAGAGTTTCCTAGCCTCTCCCTTCTCGGTTTCTTTTCATTTCTTTTCAATTCAGTTCTTCTTCTCTGCTTTTAACCGTTTCGCACTCTGTCTTCCGGTGAGACCAGAGGGACAGAAGAAGCTGGCAGCACAGGAGCCACGTCTGTACACAAAGAGTTGCGGGAGTGTGTGCTGGGCCTTGTTATTGCAGTAGCTTGAGCCCTGGATGGGAAAGCAGAGAGCAGAGAGCAGAGAGCAGAGAGCAGAGAGCAAGCAGACAGATGCGAAGCTGTGTGTGGGGCTCTGGAGCCTCTGAGGGACGAGCTGTGAAAAGGGCTTGTTGAAGAGTCTCTGCACTGCGGTGCTTTGGCTGTCTTGCCTGTGAGTGACTCCTGTCTTGGTGCTGCCAGTACAGAAGCCCAGATGTAGCTGGTGTCTTACATGTCTCCCTGGGCCTCTGTGTCTTACAGTGCTGTCACTGCCGTTTCTCATGCTTTCACCATGATCCAGCACAGTCTGTGAACCCCTGTGAACTCCACTTATTACAGTCTTGAACCAGATTGGCTGAGACGTTTCAGGTCTGTTAAACACACCTCACTTGTTAAAGACTCAGAAGAAAGACAGCCAGCTGGTCCAGTAACTAATGAGGAGCACGCACTGGCCAGAGGAAGAGATCCCGGAGAGATTCCTACTGACCAGAGCGAGATCCAGGAGAGATTCCTGCTGACCAGAGAGAAAGAGATCCAGGAGAGATTCCTACTGCCCAGAGAGAGAGAGAACTCCAGGAGAGATTCCTACTGCCCAGAGAGAGAGAGAACTCCAGGAGAGCTGGATGAGTCCTGATGTGTTCATTCTTTGAGCCACAGGGTGTTTCCAGTGGTCACTGTGATCTCAGCTTATTAAATGGAAGAATTACTTCATCAGATGCTGGTGTTTTTTTCCAGCCCATTAACAATGGAGGAGCTTGAGAGAGACCGAGAGCCTGCGGCGCAGGGCTGGGCTGTTTCCGAAACTGTGGGAGCTGGAGAGCCCCAGCCCAGCTCCTGGGGAACTGGGGTGCTCTCTAGGGTTCGGTCCGCCTCAGGCCCCATTTACTCCATGGAAGAACTTTCATCACGTTGCTTATTTAAAGTGCAAACCCGAGCTGCAGCCAGCGAGTGCTCTCCCCCGTGCTGCGCCACCGTGCCCGGGCCTCGCCGCCCGCGGGTCTGTCCCCAGAGTGGCACGCCGTGCCAGCGCGCGGCACGGCTCCGCGCTCGCCGAGGGAGTGGGGGCTTCCTGTCAGGCCCACGCTGCCTGCACCCGCCAGCCGGACAGGAAGTGTGCTGGGGTCTGACAGGAAGCGCCTGCTGGGAGGGAGAGGTCAGGGAGAGCCTTCCTGTCAGAGCCTGCTGCTGGGGGTGTCTCCCATCCCCCACTCGCGCCCCAGCCTGACGCCCCCCGAGCCGAGAGAGACGCAGCCCCTGCCTCTCTCCCTGCATCCTTGCACCGGTCGGCTGGCGATGTTGCCATGGGAGTCTCCATGGCGACACGGACAGAGGGCTGCAGCGCCAGCAACGATGGGGGAGCAAATAATAGTGTCGCACAGGAAGCAGGTGCGCCCGGGAATGTTTCCTGACAGGCCGGGGACTCCTGGCAGCGCGCAGGGGCAGCGGGGGGGGGCTGTTTGTTTTTCTCGACGGCCCTCAAACACAGCTGGAGCCGAGATGCAGCTGTGTGCAGATGGGGGAGGGGCAGGGCTGTGTGGCCAGGGGTCCAGGGCTGCCCAGTCACGGCGATGGGCTGTCCTGGAGCCTGAGGCAGCGACCCCACCCCTGCGCTAGACTCATCGGTCGCTAGACAACTCGTGTGTCAGTGTGTGTCAGTGTGTTAGTGTGTAACAATGTGTGACTGTGTGACAGTGTGTGATAGTGTGTCATTGTGTGTTAGTCTGTTAGTGTGTGTTAGTGTGTGACAATGTGTGACTGTGTGTCAGTGTGTGTCAGTCTGTTAGTGTGTGTTAGTGTGTGTTAGTGTGTAACAATTTGTGACAATCTGTGACAATGTGTGACTGTGTGACAGTGTGTAACAGTGTGTCATTGTGTGTCAGTCTGTTAGTGTGTAACAATGTGTGACAATGTGTGACTGTGTGTCAGTGTGTAACAGTGAGATTGATCTCTCTCTCTGTGTGCTCAGCCTGATCTCTCTCTGCATGTCTCTGGCGACAGTCTGTAAATCTCCCTTCTCCTCTGTGTGCAGCCCCTGCTCGTCATCAGGCAGGGAGTCCGCTCTGAGCTGGAGGCAGATTTATCACTATCAAAGACTTGTTGGTTTTGGTTGTCAGAAGCATTTTGAACCAAATGGCTTTGGTTTATCGGAGGGGAAGGTAACAAAGAAGCCAGCCAGATATTTCTGTATCTTAACTGGATCGTGCATCGTGCCTCCTCTTTTAAAATACAGCAGGCAGCGAAACTGCAGTAAGTAACCACAAGGCTTGCAGTGCTGTGCTGGCTGGATCCTACAAGTTGTTTTTTTATTTGTGGACCTGTCACAAACTCTGTCATGGCTTTTCCACAGAAACACATGTTCATCTATAAGGGAGAAGAGGCCATTGGTTCGTCATATTGGTGTGGTTGCTCAGCAGACTGAGCTCAGAGCCTCCTCGTGACTGGAGGGTTAGAACCAGACACCCACTCCTCTCTGTGTGGAGTGTCTCCCAGTCTCAGGCCTGCAGGACCGTGCTCTTCAGTGGGATCGTCCTGTCCGTGTCTTTGAGGATTGTGAACACCTGTGTTTCCTAGTGTTCCTGGTACCTCTCACACTGAGGGAGACAAGTAAGAGACACTCTCCTTCCTCTCCCCCCCCTCCCCCTCTCTCGAGTGACAGAGTGTGTCCATCAGCACCAGCGCCTCCCTGTGTTTGAAGTGCAGCCCAGGCCTGACGTCTGTCACTGACCCCTCCAGCCACGGTCGGTCTGTCACCTCCCCCGCCCAGGCCTGCTGCAGGTGCGAGGACACAGGCCGAGCCATTGTCCTGCGTCTCTGTCTCCTGTCTCCGCGGCTCAGACACCTGCGCGCGGCGCTGGGGCTGTGGGGGCTGGGGGGGCTGGGGGGGGAGGTCTTTAATCTCTGCGGCTGTCAGGGCGGACAGGGATGATCTTACTCAGACACAACCTCGCTGTGACACCGCAGAAACACTCACAGGGTTGCATTTATAATCCTGCTCAAAAAACAGATTTGTTCTTTTTTTCATGTGGGGGTGCTATGCTCTGGGTGAGCTGTGTTCTGGGGGTACTGTGCTCTGGGAGTGCTGTGCTCTGGGGGTTCTCTGCTCTGGGGTTCTGTGCTCTGGGGGTTCTGTGGATGGAGACAGGCCACTATTCCTTTCGAATGTGTGTGTGTGTGCGTGACACAGCGTGGTCCCCATGCCTGTGTGTGCGTGCGTGACACAGCGTGG